AGGTACGCTCGACCCAGCCCGAGTTATTGTTGGCATCGATGGAAAACTTGTTGAGGCTCCAGATCAACAGTGTGGGTATGGCCAGCCATTGCGCCCAAGCAACGACGTTGCACAGGAACCAGCGGAAGCGAGAGGTGTTTGGCGTAGCTAAGCGGAGGATCGAGTAGAGGAAGTAGTAGGCGCTGAGGGACAGGGAAAAGGCCAGGCCGCAAGTCCGGCCGCCAATGTCAAAGGCGAGGGGGATGGTGAATATGATGGCGCCGAGAAAGGTAGTGGACGAGACTACTCTCGTTGCTGTTGACCACATGTGCGGATGCCGTCGTCGCCAAGCTCGTGCAGCGACGAGCCCGGCGGGTGACGTGGGCGACGGCGGTCAAGGAATGAAGTCTGGCGGCGCAGCGGTCGCGCAGGGCCGCGGGGAGAAGCTCAAGGGATCAGGCGTGGTCGAGGTTGTGCGGGCGGTGGGTTGGCCTGATGGTGACTATCGACTATCTTCACGTGTCAATTTCGCTAAGTGCTCGAGCTTTGCGGGCGGCTGATGCTGACTGGCCGTCACACGGACAAGAAAAGGCAACGCTCGCCGGAAAACCAGGGGAGCGGACGAGGCACTCGGAGGTGGATCTGTGCAAGCGAGCAGACGAGGCGCTGGGCGTTGTAGTATGTACGGGGTGTGTGTATGTATTGATGGGATTGTTGCGTGCTCGCGTGCGCAATCTTGGAATCACGCCAGTGTGACGAAGGCACGGCACGAGTTTAGGCGGTGCCGTGTGTTTTTCTTCTAGCCTCCTTTCTCGCTGCCGGCGGTCAGTCTCGCTGCCGACGTCTGTCTTGTGTCTGTTGTGGTTGTTGTTGCGCACAGCTTTTTTTGATGCCGACATGGGTTTGCTGGGTCCAGCCTGGCACCCCACTAGTGCCCGGAGAGAAGAAAAGTGCCAAGCTTGTGCCCGCTGCGGGACCGCCCATCTCACCCTATGCCTGCCACCAAAAGTCTCTACCCGCAACTACTACAGCTCATCAATTGCTTGAACCAATTCTGTCACACATCCACAAAAACTACTATAAAAGTTCGCCCTGTATATCGCCCATCAAAACCACCCAACCCCGTTCTATACACCCGAACAATGGCTTCCGAAAACCCCACCAAGAGACTCAAGACGGATGCGCCCTTGATCGGAACGCACAATGGCCACTTCCACGCCGACGAAGCCCTCGCCGTGTCCATGCTGCAGCTCCTCCCTGCGTACCGCGACTCGCAGCTTGTCCGCACCCGTGACCCTGCTGTTCTGGCCGAGTGCCACACGGTTGTGGACGTGGGCGGCGAGTACGACGACAACACCAGGCGCTACGACCACCACCAGCGCGGCTTCGACGTCGTGTTCCCCGGCCACAAGACCAAGCTGTCCTCTGCAGGACTTGTGTACATGCACTTTGGCAAGGACATCATCACCGCTGTCACCGGACTGCAGGGCCCTGACCGCGATTTGCTCTATGAGAAAATCTACAACGACTTCATCGAGGCCTTCGACGCCAACGACAATGGCATCAACGTCATTGCCCCCACGGACCTTGAGAAGGCGGGGCTCGAGAAGAAGTTTGAGGACCGCGGCTTCAGCATTGCCAGTGTTGTAAACCGCTACAACTATGGCCCCAAGTCGCCACTCTCCGACGAGACCAAGACACCAGAGGCCAAGCAGGCTGAGGAGGACAGCCGCTTCATGACAGCCTCTCGCTTTGTCGGCGAGCAGTTCCGTTACGAGCTCGTTGACCGCGCCGAGTCGTGGCTCCCTGCCCGCCACCAGGTCAAGTCAGCCTACGACAGCCGTCTCAAGTACGATGCGCAGGGACGCATCTTGGTGCTTCCTGAAGGCATGCCCTGGGCCGACCACCTATACACGCTGGAGAAGGAGACGCCGCAGCCCGAGGGTGTTGCTCCTCAGGTCCTTTATGTGCTCTTCCCCGAAGACAAGCCCGACGGCAAATGGCGCATTCGTGCCGTGAGCAAAGAGAACGGCGGCTTCGAGAACCGGAAGGACCTTCCCGACGCATGGAAGGGCGTCCGGGATGAGCAATTGGACCAGGTATCAGGCATCCCTGGCTGCGTCTTCGTCCACGCCGCCGGCTTCATCGGAGGCAACAAGACGTTTGACGGTGCCTTGGCAATGGCACAGAAGGCACTGGAGTTGTAAGAGGTGCTGACATGCGGGGTTGCATTGAGGGGCTGGATTGAGGGGTTTGGATAAGCAGCGATAGTTGCTTCTACTTTGCATAGCATCGTCTGGCGTTCTGGCGCTTCATATCAAAAGTTATGATACCAACCATGTATATATGAGTAGCATGGTAGATAGAATTACGAAAATGTCGTGATTACACCATCGTCGATGGTGAGTATATGCCTTTGGACCTGCTGCATACGGCCTGTCGCGTGATGACTCCGACTGGGAATTATGAGGCTGTTCATGTCCTTCCAAGCGCCAGGAACCCCACGCCCTGCATCGCGCTCTCCCGACGGCGTCGACCAACTGCAGGCGTATGATTGGCTACAGGACGTCATCCGGAGAGAGCCGGGCTGGATTGGCCACAGAGGCACACGACTCAGCCGGCCCATTGCTAGCGGCTTGCATGTGATAGGCTCAAATGGGCATGGTGGCGAAGATTCTGCCCATCTGCCGGAGACTTACGCGGATAGAAGGGTCTCGGTAACCCCAGTCGCATCTTTTTTAACTCTGGACAAATCATACTACTATATTGTCTTTGTTTTGCTTGCCAGCGCACCATTTCTCCATCTGTTCACACCGCATCTCACCAAACCCCCCGCGAACGCGCAATCTGCAATCAAGTCAAGCGCTCGAGCGGTGAAAAACGTTGAGCTCACATCCCGTCCGCCCCCCCGTCGATCGTTTATCGCGCACGGCTTGCTGGCTGGCTTTACCGAGCTTCCCAGACCTTTTCCACCCCTTCACGTCCTCCAGCCCACCATAAACCCACTTCAAAGCCCACACCAATCCCATCGCGGCTTATCAATTTTACATCACCAGACCTCGCGCATTTCGACAATTTGCGCCCAACACCAGCGCGCATATATACACAGCTACCGAGCTCATCATCGGCACACGACCACACGATGAAGTACTTTCAGCAGACGATTGACTTTGACTACTCGTGGGAGGAGGTCTCGACGAGCAACTGGCGGAAATATGGCCCTTGGAACGAGAAGACGCCGCATGTCATCGCCGTCGACACCATCAGCCGCTCAGTAGACCCAGCGACAGGAATTGTAAGTGACTCCTTTTCATGTGCCAAAAGCACCACGGCTCTCCATCGCGAGGCGGGGCACGTGCGGAATCGTCATGGAGAGCATTCGGCTAATACGCGATAGCTGCGAACTGAACGCCTCATCACTTGCCAACAGTCGACACCAAAATGGATACAGTCCCTCCTCGGTGGCCAAGACACGTCCATGGTTTATGAAACCTCATACGTCGACCCTGTCGCGAAGAAGCTCACCCTCTGCTCCATGAACATGACCTGGTCCGACCTGCTCAATGTACGCGAAACCTGCATCTACCGACCTGCTGCTTCCTCGCCCGACGCCAAAACCTCGTTTACTCAAAGAGCTGAGATTACGGCGCTCTGTGGTGGCTGGCAGAAGATCAAAAACAGCATCGAGCAGTTTACTGTCGAGCGCTTCCAGCAAAACGCCGCAAAGGGCAAGGAGGGTTTCGAGATGGTCCTCGAGAGGGCGCGCCAGGTCTTCCAGGAGCAGAGAGAGATCCTCAAGCTCCAGCAAGCGCAGCAGGACAGCCAGATTTTGAGACACGCAAAGATTTGAATGCGCGTCAAACAATAGACTCCCTTGGTCCATGCGCCGACTCGCAAGTGCTGCGAGTCGATGCCGCCATTGTTGACTCACCTTTCGACTCTCTAGTCACCCCCACCACCAGCATCCAACTGCACCTGTCCAGTTGTAGATTCGCCTCTCTCAACTCACTTCACGTCTTTCCTTTATCCACTGTGTTTCAGCGTTCATGTTATCTAGACGCAAGGGTTTTTGAATTATTCTTTAAAAGGTCGATTTAGACTAAAACGGCGTTATGACACCAAAAGCATTAGGAAGAGAGGCGAAGATACCCTTTCCGTCATGCTTTTGAAGAGAGCATTAGACGCCTTGAGCAATTTTATACACGATAGATACGGTTCGAATATACAATAGTATCAGAGACTTTGCTTTGTCTGGATTGAAGCGTGAACCTCCTCTCTCCGGAGAGTATTGTGAAGCCGCGGCTTGTCGTTCATTGTTTGCACGTGAGAAGAATCAAGAATGAAGAACAAGGTTGGTGTGCCGAGCGTCATGCCCCCCGCCAACCCGACTCTCCATGTTTTTCGCCTCATCCCTGACTCACCCCCTGCCATTCCAAGTGGAAAGTCTTACCCCACAAAGGATACACATAAGCGCACGACGTGTCGATATATTATTTTATACAGTAATCTCGACATCATCACTACTACCACTATACTAAGCTTATATAAACAATGATGCCATCCCACTACATGCATGACGTTTAGTGGGGTGTCCTGTCCTGTGCCCCCCACGTGTTCTACATATCCGAAAGCTTCCCTCTCTCTCCGCGGGACACGCTCAAACACGTACTTTAACACATTGTTATATGCACATAAAGCACGTGAGCTAAGGGACCGTATGATGTACGATTTTTTTTACCGAATCAAGGATGCGAAGAAAAAGAAGCTTCTTCGTATCAAGATGGAACTAGAAGCGCTAGAAAAGGTAAACCAAGACACTAGCAATAAGGAAAAACGGTTGAGGAGACTACAGGTTGTTTAGATAGCCCGCCGTCTTTTGCTGCAGGCTCCATGCTCAGTCTATTGGAAACTAGTACGGACTGGAAGGAGATGGGGGTGGGGGAGTTGTTTGTACCAGATGACACCCTTTTTTGGAAAGGAAAAAAAGAGGGAGGGGATGCTGGTTTAGAAGAATGATTGAAATGCAACAAAAGGCCTGTGTAGTGTACTCTACTGTATGTTTTGATGCAAGTTCGATATTCAGAAGGGAAAGGCGAAGGGGGGGGGAGACATCAGATAACAAGTCTGACTCGTACCAAATAGACCCTGAACAGAGGAACCATTTGCGCCAAAAATAGCCTTTTCTACGTACCGAAGAACAACAACAACAACAATAAGAAGAAGAAGAAGTAAAGGAAAGAAAGACTGTCAATTTGTCACGCCCCCCCCTCCCCCTTCTATACGTAAAACGTCCACCAAGAAGGACGAGAGAAAAAAAATGTCCGGGGCGCTTGCACTCGCGCAACCCACTATCGACATACCGTGTGATCTCTCCTCCTCCTCCCCTTGAACAAGCCGGAGGAGGGGGGTGGGGTTAGGCGCGTGCACCCGCAAGCTCATCAAACGACCACCCCATCTGAACCGTGGAATCACGACTGCAATCCACGCTTTTTGCGCATATTTGCCGGAAACAGTAGGTTGCGGTGGGGAAATGTCTCGGATTTGTGTGATGTTTGTGTGGATTTTTTTGCGGCGCCTATAGGACCAGGGGGGTTGAGGAGGTGAGAGTGTGTTGTTTGTGTGGTAGCGAAGGGGCGGTTCGTAGGTTGGTTCGGTTGGTTGGTTGGGACATTTTTTTTTGGGTGGAGGCTTAGTTTTTGCGAAGCGGAGAGGGACTATTGATTTTGGGGGCGTGTGTGGAGATTAAAGGGCTTGTTGTTGGCGAGGGTAGAGGGGGAGAAAGGGGGGAGAGAAGGGTTCTGGCGGATTTGTGAATAAATTGGTTTTTCTATGGACGGGGCGTGATGTTTGCATTGTTGCTGTATGTTAGGGTAATAGTACGTACAGATGTAGAATGTACATGGGCTGGTGAGCACTTCCCTACGTGCGGGGTTTGTTCGGGCCGACTTCGCTGCGCCTATACTAGGCTCATCCAATAACTTCACCTATGGACTATCCAATGGGCAATCTGAATGTGCACAAGCGTTAAACGACACTTTTGTGAACCAAAGAATAGCATAGCTTGATGAAACCCAAGGTCACGAGCTCAACCATGGCCAATCTTGAACAAAACATCCGCAAGGCGCTAGAAACCCTCCTACCCCGAATCCAAAAGCAACATGCAGAATCCCCAGACACACCCATCATCCTCGGCATAGCCGGTCTCCAGGGCTCAGGAAAATCAACATGGGCATCTACACTCGTAAAACTCCTATCCGAAGACCACGGACTATACAGTATCACCGTCTCCCTCGACGACTTCTACAAGACCCACACCGAGCTCCTCGAGCGGCGAAACCAAGATCCAGCCAACAAACTCTACCGTACGCGGGGCCAACCCGGGACCCACGATGAAGCCCTCGCCCAATCCTTCTTCCAGGAACTAAAAAACTGGAGCGCAACAGACGGCAACAAACACCTCGCCATCCCCTCCTTTGACAAAAGCCGCTTCAACGGCGAAGGCGACCGCGCCCCAGAACACTCCTGGCCACGCATCACCCGCAAGCCCGCCGTCGTCATCTTCGAAGGCTGGTGCCTCGGTTTCACACCCGTATCTCTCTCTTTTATCCAACAAAAACACGCACTCGCCCTCCAAGGTAAACTCGCCGTCAATACCCCCGCCCAACATCAAGTCTCCCATTTATTAGAGGTAAACGAGTGTCTGAAACGGTACTGCGATACTTTTATGGGACCAAGCCATTTTGACTACTTTGTTCATATTGATACCGAGGATTTGGGGAATGTGTATAAGTGGAGATTGGAGCAGGAGCATAGGTTGATTGAGGAGAGGGGCGAGGGGATGGAGGATCAGAGGGTTAGGGAGTTTATTGATGGGTATATGCCTAGTTATGAGATTTATCTGGAACAGTTGCGGAAGGGGTTGTTTGAGGAGAGGGGGAGGATGGTGAGGGTTGTGTTGGATGAGGGGAGGGGGGTTGAGAGGGTTGAGGTGTTGTAAGGTTTGGTGAGAGTGGTCTGAGGTTATCTTTGTTAGTGACTTGTTCAGATATAGATGATGATGATGATGATGAAGAAGTCCGGTGTAGGACTTTCAAATTCACTCTTGGAAGGTAACTCGGATCCAAAGACCGTATATCATACAAGACGACCTCGAGTCTTTGCCCTACTTCCAACGCTTGACTCCCTTTCAAAAAAAACAGCGCTTATGACCCCTTAACATCCCAAAAACACGTCACTTGCAACTTTCCTACACCAACACATTTACTATTCCGGCACCGAAACCGCGTATGATCGCGCAAGCTACTTAGATCGATGCCACCATGGCAATACATGCACGGCCATTTTTCCAAAAACGCGCTGTTTTGGCGTGCTTCCCTGATGCTATCTCTGTTCCACCATATCAGCGTTAGATTCGAGGCGGTTACTGGGTGTGGGATGTGAAGGCGAGTGATATAGCTATGTGTGGCAGTTATGGGACTAAGGTGGCTTAGGGGAGAGTGTAAGCAGGACGTACTTCCAGGATTGGATGTTGGATCGTGTGAGAGTTTGAGATACGGGGGTGTGAGAGTGGTTGGGGGAGGACGTGGTTGTCATTTTTTCTTTGTGTTTGTGTTTGGACATTTGTGTGGATTGAAGTGGGAAGAGAAAGGTGGACGAGGATGCAGCTCTTACAGCTCCTCTGAATAGAAATATTGCTGTTCATATATGGAGTAAGAGATGTGTGATTGGTTTCTCTGCTGAGACCCTTTTTGGAATCCCTGAGCAGGGTATTCCAATCGAATGCGTGGTATTCGAAGGGTCTGGTTCAGTGTTGGGACAGCAGGCGCAAAAAAAGGGAATGTATTGGTAACAGTGCGATTATCCATTTTCCGTGTAGGATTAGTCCCATTTGATTCACTCTCTGGAAATTATTCGTTTCCTTCACTTATTTGTGTGCGGTGTGAGTGGAGAGTCGAGGCGAACAATGACATGTGCTCTTTCTCAGCCTCGTCGTAAACGTTATCCGCAGCGGCCCTAACTACTACACTAAGCGATCAGCACCGCTAGCTCATCATGTAATATTCTCAGCCGCAATCTGTATCGTTGTGAGAAACGACCCAAACGGCCTCGGTAAAGCTGACAGTAATACTTATATGAAAGCTGCTGCCCCACAAGATCGTAATGCGGCTGAGTACTACCTGCGGCTGAAGGCTATCGTGACACTAAGGATCTACGCACCTCTACTACAACCTTGCTACCTATCAAGCCATGACCACCACGTTGCACAACCCCCCGGCCAACGGCGCAACAGCATCCGCCGTCAAACCACCATTCTTCGACGTCAACGACCCCAAACCCGTTCGCTATGGCGTACTACTCTTCCCAGGCTTCCAGGCGCTCGACGTCTTCGGCCCACTCGACGTCTTCAACTCGCTCGCCATGCTCTACAGTTTCCCCACGAAACTAACCATGCTTGCCAAAACATCCGATCCGGTCGAAACATCGCATCAAAGAGCCGGCAACACCATGTTTTCGCACCCGGAGACGGACGTCTCGCAGAGCATGATTGTGAACCGTACATTTGCGCAGCAGCTCGAGCTGCAAGAGGGGGCTGCAGCCGAGGCCATTGACGTTCTGATTGTACCTGGGGGAGTGGGAACTCGCGGTGATATGAGCACCGAGATTGATTTCGTAAAGCAGATCTATCCCAGTTTGAAGGCTGTCTTGTGCGTGTGTACTGGGGCGACTATCTTGGCGCGCGCGGGCATTCTGGATGGTCGCAGAGCTACTACTAACAAACGCGCGTTTGCGTGGGCAACGAGCACGGGTCCGGACGTGAAATGGGTTCCCGAAGCGCGATGGGTGGTAGACGGTAACATTGTAACTGGCTCTGGGATCAGTGCCGGCATCGATGCTACGTATGCGTTTGTGTCGTTGAATTATGGCGAGACGATTGCACAGGAATTGGCTGATTGCGCGGAATATGTGCGTTGGATGGACCAAGATCATGATCCTTTTGCGAAGAGGTGGAATGCTGGTGCTTCTTGAAGTTTCCTGCAGCGCCGAAAAAGTCTTGCGGGTTGGGTATAGAGGGGCCGGTATGTATTCGACGAACTCAAGCGTCTAGTTTGGTGAGTGTTTACAGTTCATCCAGCTGCCATCCATCTTTCGCTGGGTTGTTGCGTGCTACGGTCACTCGCTCTTTCACTTATATCACAACAACAAATAAGACCCATCTTCACTTTCACTCCATAATCTGTTGCGCCATATGTTGCTCAATTCTCAGTCATTTTACCAACCGCCATTCTACTACTTGTTCTTCTTCTCAACTCAACAAAACTACAGTCTTTAGCACATATGTCTAATTTATCCAACCAACAAGATCCTTCACCAGCACCAGACCCTAGGAACGCGGTTCCACTCTTGACGGTCCTCCGACAAGAGCTTGGCCTTAACTGGGAACTATACAAAGAGTTCCTGGTGAGTATCAAAACCGCCATCCTAGTCGGCGACAATGCCGCCCCACTGATCAACCAGATGGAGCCTTTAATACAGAACCGAGTTTGCCAGATTGCTCACCAGGGTATTTTATTCTTACTGAAAGAGTTGGAGATGAAATGTCGCGCCGAAGGTAAGACAACTGCAGTCTCCCAATCCCCTCCACTTAACGCAAACCGGCCATCTATGCCACATCCAGTCGCGAACATGGTGCCGCGTCCACTTCTGTCACCAAAACCTTCCGTAGGCGGAGTTGTACGCAACTATCCCAGCCAGAATGTCTCAACATCCCGGGCACGCCCAGTTCCTACTCCTGTTCCCAATCGACCTAGATCAAACGTCGCGACCGCCATTCGAAATCAGCCACGCAGCCATCAAGCTTCACAGTCAACTCCCCGTTACGACACTGTCATGTTCATTGACCCCACTTTCAAATGCGACGTCCAAGAGTTTTTCGGCTTTGCTGGCCGTCCCCGAATCACCGATACCTCGTACCATGGGTTTGATTCTGTACCGATTTATAAACCTGATGTCGACGATCTTGCTTTTTGGAGGAAGAAGGTTGAAGCAGAGAGAAAGGATGACATGTAATAGCGTGTCTGACCGCGTTGCACGAACAGAGAGTGTAGAGGAGGGAGTATGCTAGTAGCTCCGATGAGTGAACTGTCAGGAGCTCGACGAATCGACACGTTTCTTGCCTAGGTTGAGAATATGTGGCGATTGAATGGGAGAGCGGGTCCTGGACGGAAAGATGGCGTTTGGGCGTTGGCATGGGAAAGGAGGCGTTCGATGTAGTTTGGAAGCAAATGATACTTTATAGCATAGAAGCAATCAGGGATGGATGTCACAGCGCTTGATTATCCAATACAGAAGCTATTTGATCAACTAGGCAACTGTCAGATATCTCCATAGAAGACGAGTGTCCATGAAATTCATGCCTTCATTGCAACGTAGGTTTACACGAGCGGATACTAAGGCTGCACAATTGATTGACTTGTCCTGTTTGGAAAGCCGCGCACTAGCAACTCTTGGTATCAAAAAAACATAACAATAGAATAATTTACTTTCGCTGAACAGATACTGATACTTTGTTGAGATGCGTTGGTCAAGTGCTGTCGACTGTATGCTAGGGCGGTCTTGGGGCATGGATGTGGTTGTTGCGCCAACGCCCCGTTGTTTAGTGTGGCGGAAAGATTGCCGCCCGCCGACGTGTACGTACCCTGGCCTGGGGCTTCGTCACCGTGTACCGACATTTTGCGTTCCAATTCAACGCATTGCTACGAACTTTACGATTTCTTTTTCACGACTTGAGACGTTTTTCACGACGTTACTGGCTGCGGTAGAGGTAACGCAACTGCAAGCGCCCTGCGTACCTCAGCGACATTTTCATACTCAACCCGCAACGCAATCGCACCCGTAAATAGCCTGCACACCGCACATGGTATAGTCGCACTCCTACCAGAATTCACACAAGATGCTCGGCTTCCGGCCCTTATCGGTGGGCAAGAGGAAAGCCCAGTCATACAACCAAGCACCCTCCGCCGAGCGCGATGTTGAAGACGGTGGATACAATGAAAAGAGCAACGACAGCGACGACTACGAAGCCTACATGTCTTCCGACTCATCGAGTCCGTCTTCTTCGCGGCACTCCTCAGGCGCATACGACCAAAACCCAAACAACATCGAGTCACGGCCACTCCGGCGACCACCCAAATCCCACCGAAGAGCACCATCGAGACCTACCGTAAGCGCATACAGTTACAGAAACCCCCGGGCCTGTACACGATACTTTGGGTTGGCAATAGCATCTACACTGCTTCTGTTCATGTGGTTTCTGTTCAGCAGCAGTTGGCAATCGATAAGAAACGCCGAGCTTGGCCTGCACAAGCCTCCCCCACCGCCAAACGTATGGGAGAGCTTCCCGTTCCTCAAGAGGTATCATGGCGGAATCCGGTCGCTAGTCAGCCGGGAAAAGAATGTCCCTGAATACCCCACCAAGCAGGATATTGACCCTGAGCTGCCGGCTGCGGAGCCCAAGGAGGGGGCAAAAGAGCGGAGATCAGAAGGCGCACACATTCCTGATTCTATACCCTTTGACCCATTCCCAGAATACAGCGGCTCAAACTACGTGGACAAGCACGGACCGGTTGAGACATGTTATGTTGATGCCAATGACACTATCAAGGTACCGGGGCTGCGAGCATACAAGGGTGTTCCCCAAGGCATGCCAGATAATGTTATTGGAAGCTATGAACTACTGGGTCTGAGAAACGACGTCTGCTTTGAGCGCTTTGGCCGGTTGGGTCCGTATGGTCTGGGTTACAGCAAGCGGCGGGGCGGTACTGGCGCTGGCATGGAGGGTGACCGGGAAGGAATTGAAGATGTTTGGAAGACTGATTCCGAGGTCGACTTTCGCGAGGTCAACTGGGCTGACGCTGTCAATCGGTGCTTGGAAAAGAACAAGGGCCGCTTCGAGAAGCAGCCCACCCCTCGTCCTCATGGTTTCCAGAGTATGCGCAAGCGGGACACTGAGACTGAAGAGAAAACACCTGTTGACACCACAGCTCGCGAGAAGCCGAAGAAAGCGCACAAGGCTCTTCTTCCGCGCACTGCAGTCCTCCTCCGAACATGGTGGGACTACCAATACGATGACGAGGATCTAATGTACCTTCGCGCTCTCATCTCCGAGCTAAGTCTTTCCTCGGGAGGCGAATACGAGGTCCACTTCTTGATTCATGTCAAGGATGACAACAAGCAGATTTGGGCCGACGAAAAGGTCTATGAAGAAGTTCTCAAGAACTCTTTGCCTGCTGAATTTGCCGGCATGGGCACCCTCTGGTCAGAACGTCAAATGGGTCTAATCTACGGAGGCCTCGAGGAGACCAACTACCGTGGTTTGCCTGTCCATGGCGCCTATCGCTCTACTTTTATGCCCGTAACGTACTTTGCCCACCAGCACCCTGAATATGACTACTTCTGGCACTGGGAGATGGACGTGCGATACACTGGACACTACTATCATCTCTTCGAACAAGTCTCCAAGTGGACAGCCGCCCAGCCCCGCAAAGGGTTATGGGAGCGCAACGGACGTTTCTACGTACCCACTGTGCATGAGACCTGGGAGGATTTCAAGCACACAGTGCGTGTGCAGACCGAACATGGCACTAATAGCCAGGCAAACAGATGGTCTAAGCATCTCCCACCGAACCCCCATGTCCCTGGTCGGGAGACGCTCAAGCCCGAGAAAGCAATCTGGGGCCCTGAACTTCCAGATGATTACCCAGATATCGAGATTGACCCTGCGGTAAAGCCAAACACTACCATGGCTGAGGACAAGTATGAGTGGGGCGTAGGCGAGCCTGCAGATCTTATCGTATTCAACCCCCTGTTCGACCCTGACCAGACCAACTGGATCCTGGCCGACGATACTACTGGTTATGATCTTAAGAATGGCCGCCCACCACGACGAACAGCCATCAACACCTCTGGACGCTTGTCAAGGAGGCTCCTGGAAACCATGCACCGTGAACAGTCGCTCTTCCGTCATACCATGTTTAGCGAAATGTGGCCTGCCTCGTGCGCTCTGCATCACGGTCTCAAAGCTGTGTACGCGCCTCATCCTGTCTTTATTGATCGAAAGTGGCCCACGCAGTATCTCGCTGCTATTTTCAATAATGGTCGCAACGGCGCATCAGGAGGTGCTCGTCTTTCGGTCTTTTCTGATGAGAGGCAACACAACTTCCTCGGCACCACATGGTACTATCACGCCGGCTTTGCGCCTAACCTGTGGAAGCGCTGGATGGGATACAAGGTCGATAATGATGGTGGTGAGGAATACGAGCTGGCTCACGAAGGCCGCATGTGTCTTCCAGCAGTGTTGCTACATCCAGTCAAGCAGGTCGACTTGATACAAGAGCGGGTAGAAGAGACTCCAGCAGAAGAGCGTTGATGAGTAGACAATTTTGGTCATGGCAAAATTTGGTGTATAGGCGCAACGGGTTGGCTGTATCGGTACGCCATAACAAGCCCACGTTTGAAATTCTTGATGTAAACGATTAGACACGATTCCGCCATTCATATTGTGGTAATGGTAATATACGAGTTAGCATCCAAAGGCGTCTTTTTCTCGTTCTTCCCCATCACTCAATAATTCACACGTACATTATAACCCACCATATCTCGTGTGATATTCCGCATCAATAACTCCTCGGCAGCCCAAGCACTTTCTCCCCAATATAATTCAACACCATCTCCCTACTCACCGGCGCAATCCTCGGCACAAAACACTCCCTCAAATACCTCTCTACATCATACTCCTGCGCATACCCCATCCCCCCATGCACCAGCACCGCCTTCTCACACGCATTAAACGCCGCCTCCGCAGCAAGATACTTTGCACTATTCGCCGCGACCCCTACGGCATCCGCACGAATCGCGTCATCCCTCAAACTCGCATCGTACAGCCTCGCCGCATGATACGTCGCCAGCTTCGCCGCCTCAAGCCGCATATACGCATCAGCCAGCGGATGTGCAACACCCTGATTCATACCGATTGCGCGCCCAAAGACCCGGCGATCCCGCGCGTACGCGCTTGCGCGGCTAAGTGCTGCGTAGCCTAAGCCAAGGGCTTCGCCCGCAAGAAGACAGCGTTCTGCGTTCATGCCTGAGAGGATGATGCGGAAGCCTTGGCCTTCGGAGCCGATGAGGGTGGAGGCGCTGATGCGGTAGTTGTCGAAGAAGACTTCGTTTGCGTCGATGGCTCGGCCGCCCATTTTCTTGATGCGCTGCATGCTTAACCCCGAATCTGGGGACCGGTCGAGGGGGATGCAGAAGAGACTTAGGGCTTCACTACGTTTTTTGGTGGAGGGTGCGGCGGTGCGGGCGAGGAGGATCATGCGGGAGGCGACTTGGGCGCATGTGATCCAGATTTTTTGGCCGTTGATAGTGTATGATTTTCCATCTTCTTGTTTCTGAGCGGAGGTCTGCAGGCTTAGTGTGTCGAGCCCTGAATTCGGTTCTGTAACGCCGAAGCAGGTGCGATATTCGCCGTTGATGATTCTGGGCAAGGTGTCGGAGAGTTGCTTTTCGTTGCCGTATTTAGCTAATGGTTGTGTGGCGTAGACGTTTGCGTGGATGGCTTGGGCTCCCGCGATACCTGCGCCGGATTCGGCAATGGTTTGAAGCATCATTGTTGCTTCTGAGATTCCTAGGCCTGAACCACCGTACTTCTCTGGTAAGGCGATGCCGAGCCAACCGTCCTTTGCGAGGGCAGCGTGGAAGGAGGAAGGGTCTGTGGAGGTTTCATCGTGGTGCCGCCAGTAGCTATCAGGGAATTGGGTGCAGAGGGCTGAGATGGCTTCTCGTACTTCGAGTTGGGTTGAGGTGAAGCCTGTGGTATCCATGATACGGGGGCGAGGTGTCGTGGAGAAGTGGCATTTACTGTTGGTAAGTGGCTTGGATAGCCTAGGGCGCATAGCCCGTAGGATGGGTAATACGGCTGATCTTGACATGGTTTCTGGTGTATGTTGTTTACATTGTTATTTCGAAGCGGCGTTGTTTTGATGATGTATGCATGCGGTACTCCACCTGTGTAGTTATAAAGCCGACTCGGATACTTGTCATTTACTAGATGGGGCTAGCCGGGTGGGGGGTTCATAGCCGAGCATACACTTGATTTACATGGCATTTTCAAAACCACATACAGTGAATTAGATTACATCTTTTTATATGTACACTATTGATACTCCGATACACCGAACATCCGCCGTGATCAGATACTGTCTGACACTTGTCGGTGTTTATACCTTTTGAATCAAAACCCCGCCCAACCTTGTTGTTCTTGATCCCATCACCGACGTGTCCTACTCTACATTCCTAGTTGTGACTTTGCATGGGAAGCCATGGACTGGGTGAGCTGCTCCTTGAGGCACTTGGTACGCCCTCTCGCCAAAGACGGTCTTGATATCAGTAGACGGATGCAACCGATCCCATTCCTCATACTGATCATGCACGTCAAACTCACGTACCGTCATTGCCAAGGTTATCTTGATGTCGAGCATAGCCAGAGTCTGACCCATACAGTTACGCGGGCCGTATTCAAACGGCCGCCAACCACCCTTTGGCGGATACAATGGATGATCGGGTTCCACTAGCCAACGATCAGGAATGAACTTGTGAGGTTCGGGCCAGTAGTCTGGGTTTCGCTGCACAGCACCGTGGGCAATCCAAATGTTGATGCCTTCAGTCGGATACTTGTTGCCGTTCTTGTCACGTAGGAAGACACCCGGGAGCCCGCCTCGCATGCCTGATGCAGGAGGGAAGAGGCGCAGTGTCTCTTTGATCACTGCATTTGTGTAGGTCAGTTTGTTGATTTCCTCCGGGTGTTCTTTGAGGACTCGAGCAGCTGAGTCGGTACCCTTGCCGAAGACTTGGTCTAGTTCTTCGCGCACTTTGGAAAGAACCTCAGGGTGCTTGGACATCATGTAGAGACTGTACACAATAGTAGCTGCAGTGGAGTCATGTCCCGCGAATAGGAAGAGGCGAATCTGGGTAGTAGCCCATCTCTTGAAATCGGGATCAAGCTTATCGGCACCTTTGCGTTCGCCCATGTAAGCTGCTATGGTAAGGTCCATGACAGACTTGGCCCCCTTGGATGGCTCATTGGACTTCCAGTGTTCATATCGCTTATCTAGCTCATTGCCGACATAACTGTCCATGATCTTGCCGTTGCGCCACTCGATGATAGGTCTCATTGGGTTCCAGCGTTTGAAAGGATTCAGCTCCTCATCTTGACAATGCCATTGGATGGAGCTCCGCATGGCAGCAGCAAGTGCGTTGTGTCGAGTCATAGAGTGGAGACGAGCATTGCTGATATGGTCAGCGCTTGCACGAAAGTACGATATATCTCATGTGTGCTTACATTGTAATCGAACCAATAACGTCCATCATGTAGTCGCATGTCAGATCGTCTAGCGAGAACGTGTCGCCCTTTTTCGCGTGCTCACGCAGCAGCGCCACATATACCTCGGCCTCTTCGATAATGTGGGGCGTACTCTCGAGCATCACGTTGGCACTGAATCCATGATTGAAGAGAGCTCTTGAACGCTTCCACTCAGCACCGTTCATATCGAAGAGATTCGGGCCGCCGGCAAATGGCGCGAAGAAGGGAATGAGAATAGGTGGCTTAGGAAGGTCGTATTCTTGACAAGCCTGTATGGCAAGGTCGGGAGAAGTGACCACCATCAGCGGACTCGAAAAAGGCCAAAGATCGATGTAGAAGCAGCCATCCGACTGCTTGAATTCGTAGGAGAGGAGAGTAAAGGCATCTGATTGCTGCGAGCCCTTGGGGAACTTTTCGAGCAAAGCTGGAAGTGTCTGAAGGCTGCCAGCTCCAAAGTCCCATGAAGGCATTGGCTAAAGATGGGAGCGTCAGTAAGGAAGCGTGCAAAGAGACTATTGCAGCCGCGTACCAGACCTTGCTTCTTGAGCCTGTAGAAGATCATGCGGTTCTTGATCATCTTGAAAGTGAATACGCCAATAGCGGCGACAGCCGCTGGCAGCGCGATTTGCCATGCGATACTACTGTATGAGAAGGAAGCCATGACGATGTGATAGCCTCTCAATGAGGGCGAAGCGGAAGGTCTTCTGATAAAGGGGAGACGAGGCTGGATAGATTGTCGTTATCGTCGTTGCTATTGTTGCTATTGTTACTGTTGCTGCTGCCTCTGGTACCAATTTCGGTTAATGAGGCGCAGGCGGCGCGGGTACTTGTGGATCGTTGTCGTGCAACGCAGGGGATGCGGCCCCCAAACCCGCCCCCCACTTTGGAAGCTATCGAAAATGTGGGGGCAATTCACCCATTGCCCCACGATTAGCCGCTCGTTACAAATCCACGTACCTATAATATGCCTTGGCCCCCAAAAAAGAACAGACTCTCTGTTCATGCACGCCGGAAGGCAGCACGGGCAGTGCTGAGGCTGGGGCGCCGAAATGCTACGTCGGGAACTAAGTGACCACTTGGACGAGGCTGAACCATGTGCGGGGGATATAGAGTTGATTTATTCCTGTAAGCCCTAGCAGATTAAGCCGTAAGACATGCAGAGTTGACGACGCACCTTCGGCACTGTGCTTCCACTGCGAGATGCGAATGGTTGTGATATGATATAGGGATTAGGGTGTCTCTCCTTCGTCTTGTCAGCGTGCAAGCTGACAAGGCATCCCTCTCCATACCTACTCATATCAATTTTCGCCTTCTTTTTACGCAATTATGAAGCCCGAGGACGCAGCAGGCCGTGTGCCCAAAGAGGCCCTAATCGTGAGCATGGCGTTTGTCCATCCAATTGTTCTGCGTTGACATGATTGCTAGATATCCCAATCAGTGATGCTTGCCCTATGTGTGGTAGCAGTCACCACACGCTTCATCATTCGCTTCAGAGTGCAGAAGCAATCCTTCTCTGTCGATGATGGCTTCCTGCTTCTCGCTTTTAGCCTCCTTTTGTGCAGCGTTGTCGTCATGTTCAAAGAAGTCATGGATCGCATGTATCTCATTGTTGCTCTGCAGACTGGCGTCCCGGGAGTCATACCTCCTCCAGACTGGATGCAGATATCATTCCACTTCCACAAATGGGTCACCGTATGTGGTATGGTAGCTTGGGCCTCTGTGGTCGCTGTCAAGTTGAGCTTCTTGTTTTTCTTCAAGAAGCTTATTGACCGGGTACCGGTACTCAACTATTACTGGTGGGTGGTGGTTCTCTTCAACTTGGCCTGCCTTGGATATGGCATTGCTATCTGGTACATCGGGTGCCCTTACTATTTCGACCCAAGAGAACGTAAGTAAGCTGATTCTCCAACCCTTACTATGCTGACATCCAGCTAGTCCAATGTGCCACTGGCAGGTTCAAGAAGCTTCTTGTCCACCACTCCACTGCTCAAATGGTCCTCGACCTCGTCAGTGATGCTATGAGTAAGTTTGTCCCTTGCATTTCCAGCACATGACTGATGCTCTCTAGTCCTTGCCATACCCATTTGCATCATCTGGCAGATCAAAGTACAGTGGACGCAAAAGCTTGCTTTGGCATCCTCGCTTTGCTTGACCGTTATTATGATGGCCACCACCGTTGCTCGTCTTGCTGGACTGATTAACAATGACATGGTTGATACCATATGGGAGTTGTATTGGACTGTCGTCAGCGCCCAGGTCGGTGTCTTCCTCGCGGCAGCAACTGCTTTCCGAAGCTTTTTCGTATCACGGAAAAACAGCAAAGCGTTATCGCCCAAAGAGCAAGCCCAGCGCTTCTTCTCGGCCTCTTTTGCTGCAAAGTTCAACAGAAAGAGGAAAGACACGCTGTTGGATGATACACTTGAGTCTGGGACCGGGAAGGGCCCTTCTGGCTTACCGACCGTTCCCAGGGCTCAGATGACTGGTCTTCGGACATTCATCAACGATCAAGGAGAGATCCAGTCAATCCAAGCAAATTCGCCAGAGTCTACTATTTACAGTAAGGAAGAAGGTAGTGCTCGGCTGCACTCATCCGCGTCTAGCAAAGAGCCAGTCGTAGTGATAAGGGACGTGTAAACTGGGATTCTTACTCTCCCACACCTTCCACAGTGGCTGGGTGTCTCTCTGTAATTTAACAGTGGTAAGAAAACGGCCTGGGGATATCGGTGGCGATTAAGATGAAAGAGTCGTTTTTCTCAATCTCCGGATCTCCAATTGTACTGTTAACTGAATGAATTAATGATTACCACGATGTTACTCTGAGTACCTACGAAAAAACATGAACGACAGCTCCGCATCCGCAGCTTCAATTTTGCTGTACAAGGCAACATCTGTAGACGCGATTGGCTAAAATGTGCCAAAAATATTCAACAACTTCCACGAATGGGAGTGCAGGAACAGGGAAGTGTACAGCTAGACTAGGCAGCTTTCTAGAATCCTTGCCGAAAACCCCACAATATTAGCATGTCATGCACTCGTATCACGGCACGGGCGGCGCCTGCAGCCGGCAAATGACGATAAGGTGGGATGTTCACATGCCTCAACACCGCCGTTGAGCCGATTTGTACTTGGCGTGGTATATGTATAGAAGCATTTCGGGGGTCCAAAAAAACACAGCTGCACGAACTATTGCCTATGACTGCGACACATTCAATATATGCAGACTGTGCCGCAAAATCAAGGAAAAAGAACGTAGCTGTGGGGTCACAATGGTAGTGCGGTGCACAAGGCTGACATTGGGATTCATCGCATGTATCACCACCATAAAAGATCGGAACATTGGCTAACAAGCCACGGCGCACGGCACCCCGCACACACAGCGGGAGGAGCAAGCTGCCGGAACGCCCAACGAAGAAGGACGCTTGTACAAACTCAATCTGCCATACTGCGCCGTGGAGTGTGAGAGAGCTCTAAGCGCTGGTGCGATTGGGGCCAAAACGACAAAACATCAGCTTTTCTATCATGGTTGCCTCCATACCCCTGCTTCCGCGCAACCCAATCACCTAAACGGGACTCCTCGGCGCCCATGTGAGGCTGGTGGTATTCCCCGGGTATACGTATACTATTAGGCGTCCAGAGGTAAGCCGACTCTAGCTTGACGCTCATGAAGCACTGCCATTGCCGGTTGATATGGTTGATGTGATCGATGCGCTGACTGATGGAGTCTACGAAAAAAGAGTCAGCGGATATCTATGTAGTGTCTATATAACAGGGTATCAGTGCAAGAGACATGTACATCCATGCAAGCTTGGTGACACTTCAGTATACCCTTGCATTCAAATTTACAGTCATCTGTATTCACTCACGATGACGGTCGTTCAAGGGATTCAGACCAGCTTCTCATTCTGGCCCAGCCTGAAAGAAGCCATGTACGAGCCTTTTCAAAATCAGTACATCCCATAGAATGAGACTGTCATTCAGACACCCGACCTAGACATGACTCCGAGTTCATGGACAAACAGTCTTCGGCAGTCTCTAGTCGCAGGCGGCATATTGGCCATTCCCTTCATCTTCAACTATTTGCTCACACTATCACTGTACCATTGGGCAAATATGCGAAGGAAACCGGGGCAGACGCCACCTGAGTATCCTGCAATGCCCATCATAGGAAGCACTTTTTCGTTCTTGTGGGACAGCGCTTCCTTTGTGGCAAAGGCAACGTGAGTCTTGGTCGATATCTTGTACATGAACAAAGCTGACTCAAAGCGTAGAACATACGCCGGCAAGCTGACCTGTGTCCGTATTTCACTGCTCATCAATGGCATCTATCTCGTCTCCGAACCCAAAGCCATTGCCGATATGTGGAAGAACCCAAACCTTTCCAGTCCCATCTACGTGTACACCGTGGGACTGCGTTACATCTTCGGCATGCACGAGAAAGGCATCGAGGCCTACACAGCTGATGACTCGGGACCATATCGCAAGCCTCATCCATTTAGCAATGTTGAGCCCAACAACCGCATCGACTTTCTCACCCATGACTCGCTGCTCCGCGGGCTGACGAGCCACGCGATGCTACGAATATTTGAACGGTTTCAAGCCATCCTCAAACGAAACCTCGACACCGAAGACATTGGCGATGAATGGATCGAGCAACCTGATCTCTTCACCTTCTTCCGTAACAATGTCGGCAAGGCAGTCCTGGAATCCCTCTTCGGTCCATCCCTCCTCGCCATCAACCCAAACTTCACCAGCGACCTCTGGGAATTCGACGAGCAAGTCGTCAACCTCGCCAAACGCCTTCCCCGCTTCCTAATCCCCAACGCCTTCCGCGTCCGCGAGCGTCTCCTGTCCCAAATTCAAAACTGGTACAACTACGCACGCCAGCACTTCCGCGACAGCAACACCGACCAAGACACCCAATGGGACCCCTACTGGGGCTCCATCATGAACCGCGAGCGCCAGTCGATGCTCCTCAGCATCTCAGGCCAAGACGACGCCGCCGTCGCCTCCACCGACCTCGGTCTCATCTGGACCTCCGTCACCAACGTCGTGCCTTCCACCATGCTAACCGCCTTCCACATCTTCTCCGACCCCGCCCTCCTCTCGCGGATCCGCACCAGTATCTTCGACTCCGTCTCTCACACCCCCACCTCCGGCTTCTCCGCCTCCATGGACAAGCTCCTCCAAAAAGACCTCTTACAATCCGTCTACGCAGAGACACTCCGCTTGTACGTCCAATCCTACATCACGCGCTGTTCCGCACACGAATGCATCACTGTGGGCGACTGGACACTACCCCGCAACGAAGTCAGCATGGTGAGTTCCTACGTCGCACACATGAACACGTCGCTCTGGAACGAGCAAGACGGCGCTCACCCCGTTACTTCCTTCTGGGCCGACCGCTTCATTCTCGACCCAGCGGACCCCTCGTCGGGACCCATGGATCCTTCCACCCCCGAAGCCACGGAAATCCGGTCTAAACTCTCCACCAAGGAAAAGCATTTCTCGGCAAAGGGGCTCGCGGGCGCGTGGATACCGTATGGAGGCGGTTTCAGCGCGTGCCCGGGGAGGTTGCTAGCGAAGAGGATTATCCTGTATACGTGTGCGTTGCTGGTGAGTGAGTTTGAGGTTGAAGTCAAAGATAAGGCGTTTGAGATGGATTCGTCGGGGTTTGGGCTGGGTACGCAGAAGCCGAAGACGAAGATTGGGTTTAGGATTCGGAGGAGGAGGGGAGATTAGGTTGATGGGGGACTTTTATGACTTTATTCTTGAATTGTATATGTATATGGTAGCTTTCATTCTTTTTTTTTCTTGAATTTAGATCGATGTAAGGGATGAGGTCAAGTGTAGATTAGAGATTGGTGTTCATGTGTAGGGACTTGGATACTGGTAGCCTATTTTTCTATATTTATGAACGTGTATGAATGAAAACATCTTCATCTTCGAGCTTTGTGAATTTGTAAATTCCCACACTCGATCGTTATCATGAGCAGTGATGTTCGATGTAGCAGTAGAGTGGCTTGAAACTCACATGTTGTATTCGGAGATATTTGGATGGCCAACGCGAGGTTCTGTGATTGTATCATGCTCTTTAAACGTCTGCTTAAATTCATGATATGATGATCTGATTACATATAGTCTAGATACGTTTGAACCGCCACCATCTCCTCCTCCTCCTCCTTCATCATACTCTAGCACCACCTACTCCAAGTGCCCTTACAACCCGAGACCTCTTTCTCACACAAACATCTTACATCTTCAATCACCCTTCTACCCTCGGTGGACCTTCCAATATCATCCCCTCGCTCCCGACCCCTTCATAATGTTTTGCGCACAACAATTTGTCCCGCCTCCATATGCTGAACATACATTTTTCCTAGTTCCAATCTCAAAACTCTACATCCAAAATTTTCGATTCAGGAGCCGCAGCAGCTTCGTATTAAAAGATACCACGAGGAATTCTTTTAAGCACTGGGCCTTTTTGAAGACTTGAAGGATACGGGTGTACAATCTGCGGGATGACGGTATCAGCTATAGAAGGACTGGCTGCAGCGTACTTTAGATACGAAAAGACAGGGATAGGAGACTTAGGTATGAGAAGAGCCTTAAATTATCTATTAATCGGTGGTTGGGCTGGTAGTAGATGGATAAATTGGTGGTTAGCTCTTGTAATTGGGATGAGGTGTCAGAAGGGTAGTCTGGGGGTGTGAGGGACTCTATGGAGTGGCATGTTAGTTGGGAAATGAGAGAGAATAGGTCAAATCTCTTCTAGTGATGATAAAGGAAAGCTTCAGAATACGGTTATAATATGCTGAGGAGGGGGTTTGAGATAGTCAAAATTTTAGTCATCAAGATAGCGTCGTCTCTACTTATTTCTATGTATCACTCTGTTCATTATATTCCTTCCTCCTTATGGCGTTTAGAACCGAGATTCTGCGGGCAGATTTCGACAAACACTCTCCAATATCCTCAAATATACCAAATCGCGTAACCCCACACAGTTATTCAACCCCAGCACCTTTCACCCTAAAACCCCTCAGACTCAAAATACCCCCCAAACCCCTTGACAACTCCGTCTACAAACCTATCCTCCAGCACCCCTTCCTGCCAGCAAAACCCAATCGTCAACCCCCCATCCGCACCAGACACAACACTTGTATTTAGCGGCGCCCCAAAAGCCACTGCACTACGACTAAACGCCATCCTACCCACGCGCCACTTCGCCTCTTCATCCCCAGCACCACGCATAAACCTGCCAATGTTTGAAATCTCAAACGCGGCATCCCGAGGTGCACCAATCATACTTTTGAAGACAGCGGCGACATCGGGAATTGCGCCGAAGAACGCGACGGAAGTGTAGGGTTCACCTGATGGCGAGGGGTTGCCGGTTAGATACTTGGATATGGCGTCTGCTGTGTGGCGTGCAGCAGGCAGTCCAAGCACGGCGTCTTCCGACTCGGAGGCAAAGTGTGAACGCGGTATTTGAACTTTGATAGCGTCGATGAAGCTGCCGATTGCGTTGGTGGAGTCTCCTGATGGGAGATTGAGCCAGGGGCGGAGGTTGATGGGTATGATGCCTGTTAGGGCTTCTGTGGTTGGTGGGAGGGCGTCAAAGAGCGCGTGGGCGAGGGTGGCTTGGAGACCGGCTGTTACGGATAGGTTGCTGGACTTGCATTTTTGGGCGAAGGAGGTGGAAGAGGTGGGGGAGAGGTAGAGTGTGCGGTAGTGGGTCTGGCAGGGGAGACGGATGGAATCGCCGGTCCATTCTTGGAGGCCTGGGGTGCGGTGGTCGACTGGGTTTGGGTTGAGGGGGAGTTGATGGAGTTGTTCGAGCGTTGGGAGGAGTTGAGCGTTGGGTGAGGAGTGGACGAGTGTGGTGATGTTTGACAAAGACTCGCTTGATGAGGAAGCTGCGTTTAGTGCTTCGCTGAAGGATTTGTGGAAAACTAGACCAGCTGCGCCATCGCCGATGCTGTGGTAGAAGATGAATGAGGCAGTGAAGTTGAGCTCGTTCTCTGCATCTCGGAGAATGACCAGGCGCCAGAAAGGCAGTGTGCCGTAATCGGACTTGAAGTCTATGTTGTGTTGCTCTTGAAGTATCTCGTCGAGTTCAGAGTCCTCTCCGATCTCTTCCAATGGCCGTTCTCGAGTCAAGAAAGTGACAGAGCGTGTGAGATCAATTGTTGGTAGCTGGACCCAGTACGAATCTGGAGAGTCTTCGTCGACAGGAATGGCTGACAAGATGGCATGTTCTTGTATCACACATGCCAATGCAGCGTAAATGACGCGTTGTAGATCGTACTGAGCAGCAGGTTCGGATACTCCGTAGTGTGCAGATAAGCCCACATTGTTGAAAAAACCTAGGGCGTGAGAGACTGCGGAAAGCTGTTCAGATCGCCCTGTTTTTGTTCAGTTACAACTTTATGTTGACATGTGATGTGTGGCTACCAACCCAGCGAACGTAGTTTGAGGGGCTGTTCAATGTCTCCCATATTTGATTTGCTGTTCACTTGTTTACTACAAGGCTAGAAGTAGAGGTTGATGTCCAAGTTCTTGGGACTTTATGTAAACAATGTCAGTTTGCTCGCCTTATAGATATATCAACTTGCACTTGTATTAGATGACAAGGCTGAGTAATAATATTCCCGCACATTGTTTCGCGGGGCTGTTATTATGTCCTTTGTGTAAGTGTGAGATCCTTCGGAGTACAGTCTAGCACTAATGTCAGGCGGGACACTCGTTCAATCCCACACTCTGTAGTGCATCCGTTACCAACACCGCCTCCTTGGTCAAGATGACCCTGCTCAGTGGCGATTGGGAAATGCTAAAAAAAAACCAAGGCGTGGCGCATGAGTTGTGCATTTTCCTTCCTGTTAATTCCCAATGTAATAGCTGTGTGTATCCGCTTCTCTGCAGGTAAGCTGACGAAAAGGCGCAAAAATGCTCACTTAACTGGGGCAGCCAAAGGATTGCAGGGAAAGGATAGACCAGCCGTGTAATCCAAACTTAAATCAGCCAAAACTACAACTCCGTGTTTGCTAATCCCCGATGTAGCTCAGTCGCTTGACCGGGATGTTGCAGTGGGGCTAATACTAGCCCCTGCTAACGCCGATCTTTGCTCAACTAGGAATACTGAGCGTTGATATGTCAATGCCTAGTAGGTTTGACTAGTATCCTACGTGGAAGATTTTGGCCCGTAACCAAAAGATGAATGCCTATGCAACATTATTGCCAAGCTTGTTGGTGTTGAGAGCTGCAAGATAATAGAATGATTGATTTCTCGTAGACGATACTATCTATACAGTGAGGCTGAGGGAAGCCGTCCAAGTCTAGGTAATGCCACCATTGAGTAAGTATGTTTGTTTTGGAACACGAACAGTCTGGCAACGCATCACCTTAGCGTGGACTGGCATGTGACAGAAGACCGGGAGATGTTACCCATTATGCGATGTCCTTGTCAGCCCTTGTACTTCTCATCATTCTCTTGAGCCAGGCGCGCTTAGCAGCAATTGCTGCACCAGCCACGGGCACTTCAGGGTTGTCAATGGCATCAAATAGGTGGATGCCTCCCGGCCAGACGTGCAGTTCACACGAAGAACCAGAACGCCACATAGTCATGGCGTACATGACAGCAGGATCGCGGAAGACCTCGCACTCTGCAGCATCAATGTATGCTTGGGGCAGATTGGACAGGTCAGTGGCCCGGGATGGTGATTGATAACGGGAAACATGTTCCGTGTCGCGCTGACCGGCCAAGGCATGGTTCCAGGCGGCACGATTGGTAAGGCCGTTCCACGGCACACCGTATTCAAACTGACGGTCCGAGACACTGTTACACCTGTCGTCCAACATAGGCGAAAGAAGCATCTGGGCTTTGATAGGGATGGAAGGATTTGATCTGTCGCGTGCCATCAAGCAGGCAGCTGCGGCAAGAGGGGCACCGCCTGATGAGCCGCAAACAATGATTTGAGCGGCATCAATCCCCAGGTCTGCAGCGTGCGTCGACATCCATACGATACTATCGTAGCAGTCCTCAGCGCCACCAGGAGCAGGAGTTTCGGGGGCTAGGCGGTATTCGACTGACGCAATGGCACACGGCACATCTTGCACCAGGTCGACAAGTGAAGGAATGGTGCTGAAGCGGTCACCTGAGATCATTCCTCCTCCATGCACAAAGAACAAGACTGGCAGAGGGCCCCGTGCTGCCGCAGGCGTGAAGACAGATAGAGGAATAGTATGGCCCTCTGAGCCTGGAACTGCATGCTGTGCATGCGTCAGATGTGGATGGGACTCGAGTATCATGTCAAGGGTCACGCTCAGGTCGAAACTCCGCATAAAGGCGACGTCCAGCTCTTCCGGCAGCAGCACCGAGTCGACAATAGGCGCCAATGCGGCATCGATGGCTGGCCGGGGCAGTGTGATGCGTGGGTCCAGCCGGCCAGCCTGCGAATAGGGATAGGGATAGGGTGGTGGCTGCGAGCTCATGGCGATAACGAAGTGCTAGTGAGCCACAGGTAGATGTGTGCTTGGACACGTACATGTATGTGCAGTGCCTCTCCGACCTATGCAGACGGTTGTATTTGCGCATATAACGCTCGGGCTAGGGGTCTCGATTACACGTGGATTAGATGAATGGACCCGCGACCCGGGGGCTGGACATGCGTCAGCCTTACAGCAGAAAGACATGGTCCCGAAGCCCCTTGCAACGGCCCGCCCGCTGTGCCGGTCAGAGAAGCAAGTCCGCCGCTGCGCATGGCGCCCAAACGCCACACACAAGCGATCTTACAGTCAATGGAGGCGTGGGGGGAAAATGTGTCGATCCGAGCTGACCTGAGCCCCTTGGCCTTGTACGTATGATGGAACTAGTAGCTGCTGCATTGAGAAGGTCGAAAAGTTACGAGCAAGATTGCACAATCCTTCGCCAAGCGAATCAACTCAACCATCTGCCGTGAGCACATTTCAACGTGAGCAAGTTTTGCCTGCTGGATTCTACTGGCGCACTTCCCGTTCGATATGGGCCCGTGCGAGAGCCGAGTGGAGTTTCGCGGCTGCGGCTGAGTTGGACCAAGATGTAGGCCAATGCGAACCGGTTCCAGTACTGAATGCTTACATACGCCTTGGAAAAAAAGGTGTTGGCTTTGTGGCGTGTTCTGTACAACGTAAAGTTCTGGCTGCCTTATTAGTCGTCATTGTACTACTAAGTATCAGGCCAGAGACTGAATGAACTTCCGAGTCACATGCAAGGGCTGTGGAACACACAACCGGCTGTTGGAAACTACATTAGCCAACCTCGAGTGGTCTCTGGTTTCGTCACCACTGATACTACCTGTAGAACCACTGTCCAAAATTGGGCCTGTTACATGATAAAGGGCACAGGCACGTAGCATTTGTGATGTTGGGTCCATGAGTTGCATGCGTATGCCTGAAGAGATTTAGCGTACTGGAGGGAAGAGCTATTCACATTCAGCTCAAACTAGGCAAGCCATGACCAAGCCCCTATGGTGTCTGACAGGCCGGCAGTAGCCGCTCAAGTCGTCAGTTTTTGTGGTTGATGTTTTTTATTAGAAGCGTTGAACATCTGCCCCAGCAATTAGCGTCAGGCAAGCATGGAAAGAATAAGCGACGCCATACCTACTGAACCACTCAAACTGAGCAAAGAAGCATGCCGCCCTTACTAAGCAGATGTGTATAGCCTGGATGTAGTACAACGCTGCGAAGCGTTGGTGTGTTTGGTGGCTTCGCGATCATCTTGCTGCGCTTGGCTTTCGCCATCTGAACATGGGTGAGCTGTCAGACTGCAGCCGCGCGCATGCAACAAGCGCATCCCCGGTGTTGGTGTGTTGTTACAAGTTAGAGTTACATGTTTGTGGCTGGCATGCAGTAAGCTTCCTCTATGATCAGAGTTTGGTTGCAAGTCACTGCGACGTGTCCATCACCGCCATGCACTAGTCAGGACTAAGGCCCCTGCCATCCCAGCCAGCCGGCACACCACCACACCACTCCGCCCCTCCCTGTCACTGGACGCATCAACGCTTTCGCTTGCTAACCTTCTCATTCCTGAGCTCGCGGCTTGGCTAACGAGCAGGTGAATGCAAACTGATCCAGCACCATGATGCCCTGAGCACACCGCAGCTGTTGCTGTACCCCCCTCCTGTGTCAGATAGACATGTCAGGTTATGCCGCTACGCATAGCAGAGCCTCATTCCCATTGTCTGCTGCCTCATCCAGACACAGGGCCACCAACATGCCTAGCCACTACAATTACGCCTACCGGGGAACTGACTGTCAGCTCTGCCTGCGCTGAGCTCTGTGTTCCAAGTATGAACACAAATCCACATGCTCTGACAAGGGCCACCAGTTGTTACCCCATTTAGAGACTCATGTGATCCTTGCATCTCTTTCTCCACCACCAGCTTCCAACTACTCAACTGTTTAAAGCGTCTCAAGACCACGCCAGAAGTCTGGGCACATACTCCAATCATCCCTCTGTTTTGGGAATCAACTCATCTATTCATAATCATGTACAGAACATCTGACAGTCCCTCCGTCGATTCAGTGCGAAGCCAAATGCCTCCACCATATACACGCCATGACAGTTCAGTCGGACTCGGCCTGTCACTTCAACAAGAGGAACCAACCGTCACCATCACTCCAAGCCCAATGAACAACATATCTAATGACATCCTTGAGATCATGCACGAGCATGCGCTCAACAAGTTTAATGACTCCAGAGAGCGATTGGCTGCTGGGAGGGAACATCTTTTGTCGAGGATTGACACTTTTGTTCAAGCAGGTCAACGTGTCGAAGCATGTTTGCCAGCGTTTCCTTTCAAGTCAGCCAACAAAGTCTACAAAGTGCTTGGCTCTCTGCCAGACAAAGCTGAAGAGTTGGCTCTCGAGAGGCTGCACAGAATGTGTACAAGAATCAAGCAAATCTACAAGCCTGGAGCGAGAGTGACAATCATCTCAGACGGCATCACATACAATGGTAACAAATCTCTCAATAGTACATAGGAAGCCTGCTGATGTAGATTCTAGACCTACTGTCGATATCAGATCGCGATACCTGGGCTTACGGAGAAGCTCTACGAGAGATGGCTATTGAGAAGAAATTCACTTCTATTGCTTTCTCCCGATTACGAGACTTACTCGAATTTCCACTGCCAGAAAAGATGCGAGAAATCACATATGTTGCCAATTGCACAAACTTCAGACGGTTACTCTTGAATGAGTTTGGAAGGCCGGATATCGACATTGACAAGGAGATCACAGTCAATCCAGATACGAAACTGACATATCTCGGCTACCGCAAATTCCTGGAGTCAGATCTGAAACACATATTCAACACTGGAGAGAATCGTGGCCGCAATCAATACAAGAGAGACGTCAAGTATCTCGCAAAGGAGATGCTCATGAGGGGCTATGTAAGTATCTTAGTTTCCCATTTGAAAAGAAGGTTTCTAGGTTACAATGCTAACAATGACTCTAGGCG